AGGGGTATTTGTAATGCAATTACCTCATTAGTGCGCCATAGAATGTGACAATTGACCGGCGTGTCCGTAATTGGATTTTGATGAAATTTTTTTTCTTCGTTTGCCGGGGTGGGCCGTATGGTGACGCCGTATGCAGCCTAACCAAGCCAAGGTATGCCACGTTGCATGCGACTCTTACGATGGTTTATAATCGGATGGATTTTTTTTTTTTTTTTTTTTTTTTTTAGCGTTTATTGGCCACTCTGTCGGGCCTGTTCTTCATTATAACGTGTTTTTCACTTCGGGCTTGACATTATAATGACTTTCACGCTTCTGCACTTTTGCTTTGAGGCTGTGCGGGATGGCATGGTTAATGACTCGGACCAGAGTTGTCAAAAGTTCAGCCTCTCTTCTTGCTAATGTTAAAGACAAAAATGAATTTGTCTGATAACAAGGCCCAATTGTCTTGGTAATAAGAAGATCATTAAAATTAGAATCTGAATCTCGTAAATTTGCTGTTTTCATTTTTTCCCCGAAAATTAGAATTTAAAGGGAATATACAACATTTGCTTTTGCTGTAATTTTCTGAAATGGATGGATTGGGAGGGGGGGGGGGGGGTTTAAGTATTTTATAGCAAATATTGTTACACTGACTTGTTTGATGTTTTGGGTTCGTAGATGCTGGAAAAACCAAGAAAAACAATCATGTTCTTATAGTCTGGTTCCCTGACCCCACTTGAGATGAAACGGAGCACATTATAGACGTCAGGGAAGTTAAGGTCAAAGAATGGCTTGTAAGATTAGGGAACCAGTCTAGTTGGCTTGTACCCGTTCTTAGGTGTGTAATCGATGGCAAAAGAATATGGTAAATTTGGTAAATTATAAATTATAAACTAAAATATATATAAACTAATTATATTATAAAATATAAACTAAATATGGTAAATTTTTTCCCAACGCTGGTCGGCCGACCTGTGTTTGCTCGTAATGTGGGTTATCGGCATTTCAGAATTATTACCGTGGAAGCTTCCATCATTTGACAGCAACACACTTCACTTGCGATGTTTACTTTTTTTCAGAGCCCTTGATGGGACTACAGAATTTCCTTGGCTCCTCACCAGAATTAAAGCAGGCTAATCCAATTATACTCGGTGAATAATTGACTTTAAACTGTGTACACACGCAATAGAAAGACTTTAAGCGAGTAGGTCTTACGATAAGGCCCGTGCGTTTGCGCGTCGTGTCGCTCGCAATTGGAGAATGCTCATCCATTGTATTTCTCCTCCAATTTGCTTCAATAAGTGGCATCCGTTGCTAGGGCAGGCTGGCATTATCCATTTGATTTTGTGTGTGTGTGTGTGTGTGAAATCAACTTGATTCTCACTCCCTCTATCTATAGGTGATCCATCATTTTTTCCCCTAAAACAAACAACTTAAGAAATAACTGGGCTATTAAAAGATTCACGGCCAATCCAATTATGAAAACCAAACTCCTTTTTTTCCCTTCTCTCCCTTGTCAAATATCGCGCGGAAAAACAAGCAAGCTCTTTAAATAGATCCAGCTCTGATTTCTTTCGGCACAATATTTATACGCCACCCTTCGGGAGTGTGCCGTCTTTTATGTACAGAGTTTGAAATGGTCGGCTTGCAGTTGATGTTGATTTGGTTTTTCTTTTGGGACATTCTTTCTTGGCGATCATCGGAGGAGGATAAAATATGTCTGGCTTTTGCGAATGAAAAATATACATCTCGATAACGTCAGCCTCGAAAGAGCACATTGTGATATGATGGATGAGCCCTAGGGGAATAACGGGGTCCTGTGTCCAAACAAAAATGTTGGGTTGATCAATGTTCAGCAGGCCTGACGGCAGTTACTAGCAAGGATTCTGAGCTCATACTTCTTTTTTTCTTGCATTTTTCTTTACTTGAAATTCACAAAAATGTTCTTATCTACAGTGCTGTGCTTACCCTGTGGCTGTAGTTCTTGTATTTCGGGTGTAATCATGTATTTATGTATGTACATGTTTGTACATTGTACATTGTACAAGCATTACATTCAATGTGTGGACTTCCGAACAAAAGATGTCCACATAAAACCAGGTAGCAGCGACATTGTGTGGACTTGCCCACGTCCACACAATGTTTCCCCCTCTCTGGAAAACAGGTTTAGAGGCATTTTGGGGTTAGGTTTATCCGTGGCAAAATGAAGAGAAACACTAAAGGGGATCATAGGAAAAAAATGGGTTGAAAGAGTTTTCACAGTGTGAGTAAAATGAGTTTTTGTCACAGGTTTTTCTTAACTACATGTACACTCAAACAAAAGAATGTCCACATTAGGTATAGAACGTAAATCGAAATGTTTTTTGCGTGTTTTTTTTTTTTTAGGAACTTCTCATGAACCCTACAAAATGCCTCATGACACATTGTTATTCCTTCAAGTCAAGGGGCATCAGCTATCATCAGCCGTTACGCGTAATCATCGCCAATGGCGATGGATGTTTTTTTCGGAGCAACCGTAACATTCCCATCTGTTTCCGGCACTCCGGACAATGGGGCAATGGAAATTGCATTTCTGCCATATTAAGAATTAAAAGCCAATGCCCGATGATTAATGTTCGCACTGACTTGGCTCATATCCGCCGCTTATTGCATATTTTTTTTTTTAACCGTGCCACTACACTGCTGGTTGTAAATTAAAATGAATAGGCCCATATTGCACATTATCGGTGATTCATGGCGCTATTACTCTACATTATCGGAGTCTCATAGAACATGTTTAATAACTGAAATGTCTGGTCGGCTGTAGATATGTGAGTCGTTCTGGCGCAATGACACAGAACTGGGCAGAGGTCAAAATGAGGGTTTGCAGGTATTAGAAAAGAGAATAAAATTCTCCTTACAATACTGTTTGTTGCACTTCAATCAGACAACCCATTGAAAAGTTATGGCCGTTTAAAGTTCGCGTTAGAAATAGACATGTTAGAAACGTAAAATACTGAGAAAAGGGCATGTAAAGTTTTGAGTTTTGTAGTCGTGAAAATAAAAGATGCTAAATTGTTTTCCCTTAAAAACACTATTAATTCCACGATTTTAATACTATTTCTTTAAAATGTGTGTAGTAGACAATAACAAAGATTACAAATACCAATATTCTGAAAATCGAAAAAAAAATTGGCCCCATTTGGGTTTTTTGCTTTTTTCTCCACTACGGCCTGTGCCCAGTTCTAGTCTCATTTTGCCAGAATGCCTGACATATTTCAAAAAGAGGATATGAGATAAATTGACACTGTGGAATTCGGGTTGATGCATGTGCATGCCTTTACTTCGGGAACTTTCTACCACAAACTTGAAGATAATATACAACATTTGCAATCAGAAAATAAAAACTATGAAATACCTTACTTTACTATAAGTGAATAATATAGTCTCAATCATCCTGTGAAATCATGGAAGCTGATGTGCTTTCATTTTCTGTCAAGTGGAATTTTTGTATCAGTTTCGTTGGAAAATACTGACTTATTTCAAATACTGCTCCCAATTTACCAAATTTAGTGAGACCACATTTTGTTTGCAATCGGTTACACATCCGTAAACGGGTGCAAGCCAGCTAGTCTGGTTCCCTGACCTGACAAATAAATTGCTCTGTTTCGTCTGAAGTAGGGTCAGGGAACCAGGCAACAAGAAAATCTTTTTTTTATTCTTGGTTTTTTGAGCATCTATGAACACAGAACTTTAAACATGTCAATTTTACAATATTTGCTATAAAATACTAACCCCCCAAATCCATCCATTGCTGAAAATTACAGCAAAAGCAGATGTTGTATATTACTTTTAACTTTAAAGTCACTTCAAAATATTTACTTTAGACCACTTTTTTGTGGGGGAAGGGGGGGGGGGAAGAGGGGGAAGGTGGGGGGGGGGGGGGGGGGGGGGAAGGTGGGGGGGGGGGAGGGATGGGGGAGGGAGGGACGTTGAACCCCTAAAGCCATCTCCACTTGCCTCTTCTTATCAGTAAGACATGCATGTTTATTCAAACTACCGGTACCATTGATTATCCGTAAATTAAGTGCATGTAATTTGTCATTTAAATTTGAATCATCGTTAAATAACTTGAAAGGTTTCTGTTTACAACAAGCAATCCATTATGTTAATATAAAGGTCGCCTCTTTTTTTGGGGGGGGGGAGGATGAAGGTCATCTCTCTCAAGGCTAAAAGCCACTTTAGATTAAATGGATACAGATAAAGACAGGGGGAACGAAAGAGACCCATCAATTGTGGATAGATTGAAGAACGATCGCATTGTGATGTCTCGCCAAATTGAACAGCAAGTTTGAAAGGAGGCTTTTTTGGGGGAAACATTTCTAAAAGGTGCTGATGTTTAGCTACATAAAAGAGGACAAAACAACATAGATAGATAGATAGATAGATTGTTGCGGCAATACTATGCCTCATACAGCAATCTGATGAAAGATGGACGACAATGTTATTAAATTGGATGGAGAACGGGTAGACTTGCGTCAGAGTTTGTCATTGGGTTGACTCTGACATACAAATAAGCTATGAAGCTTAGTAGGGCTGGGCTGATTTAAATATTTGATAATCAACCGTTTTTTTGGAACGAATGTTGTATCCTGATGCTACTTTTCATCATATAGTTTCTCAATGAAGGTCAGTCATTGCAAAAATGCTGAAAAGACATGTGTCTGGGACTGAGAAACATATTTCCAATTTTGGTAGAAAGTACTTTTAAAATGCACTTGACTCTCCATAGACTTTGTACATGACGAAAGAAGTGGGGTCTGGATACTGCATTCTTTCCCAAATTCGGCCTAAGCTGTTGATTGGTCAATTTGATGTCATGCTTTTGTAATACAAAAATGGTTTACCAAAGACCCAACAGAAGGCGCCCGCTGAATGGTCAGATTGTGGAGGTCAAGACACAGTTTTGTTCTGAACAATCTGCAAAGATAATTATCTAGGGAGTACATTCATAATCAATTCTTCTTTGATTTATTTTGCAGGTTTTAGCCAACGTAGTTCTGTTCATTGGTGTGAACGTAGTGGGCATGTATCATATACAACTCTTAGACATTGCCCAGCGCCGAAAGTTCCTCGACACGAGGAGTTGTATAGAGTCCAGAGTCAAGCTAGAGCACCAGCAGGCACAGCAGGTAAGGACACCAGACTAAAGGGAGACCAGTGTTCCTTTTCCCGTTATAAAATATTTTTAGTATTATCTCATTTATTTAGAATTGGAAGAATTTTTTAAATGCACTTGATGACATGTAGACCTTTTATTTGATTTGTAAACATTATGAGCGCCATTTTTGAACAGGCTGTCACAAGGGCATAAAAATGAACGCGGTTGGCAATAGATGTTGCCCAAAATATTAACATTCTCATTATTATAACACCCTTATTATGTAAGCAAGAGGCATTTTTATTAAGTTTTTGGCAACACTTTTTGCTTATTTTGTGTCGTCAACAATCCAATCAGTGGTGGATCCAGGGGATGCGGAGGGGGCCTCCTGCCCCCGGCAGTGATCAAAATGTTCTAATATAAGGCAGTTTTTCAGAAATATCATACAAAAAACTGTTGAAATGACTTGTGAATCAGTAGTTATGGCGTTTGGCTGAATATCAGATGCTGGCTGGAAAATTTTGCCTTTTGCGAAAATTGCAATTTTCGGCAAAAATAATCCCGACGCGAAGTGGTTAACGGGAGAACTTTGAATAGTGGATAAATCACATGGAAGTCTAGCCTCAAGTACAAATAATGCAACCTTTTTCCAACCGACTGTGCACATTAATGCACATTTTGTACCATTCACTCAAGGAGAGGATTTCAGTCGCAATATCGAAACTCAAGTGAAGGGCCGTCACTTCATATTAAAAAATTCCTCTTGAGTATTTGAGGACAATATGTGCACAGTGTCCACCATATGCTTAATGATCTTTCCTCTCATGGTTGGAGACTGTTTGTAAATCATGCAAATGTGATCTCATGTGGCCAAAAAAAAAAAGAAGGAATAATTACAGCGCGTCCCAAAATACTCGCAACATTTTTTTGCGAGGCTCTAGAGTCGCTGCGGAAAAACATACCGCCATTGATTTTATACCATTTTAAGGTTGGAATCTGAACTTTATCCCTGGCGAGTATTGGTTTGATATTTAAAAGAGTTTTAAAATTATTTGTGTTCAAACAAAGGCATGTTGAAAACAAACTCAACCGATTTCAAGAGAAATCGATGATGCAAACTCAGATGCAAACTCGAGTCAACAAGCTGTTGAAATAACAAAAAATACTAGTTGATTTATTATAAAAGCACATTGAACTTGAAACTAAGAACAATATAGTGAACATATTTATTGGCGAGGCTCTAGTGTCGGTGTGAAAAACAAACAATATTGTGAATATATTTAAGGTGTAGTCTACGTGGAATGAAAAGTAAAGTAAAAGGCAATGAGATCATCACATCATGAACATGATGAAGCATTTCCACATGAGAAAAAAATTCGCATGAATGATTTTCATTGAAATTGATTGAGCTTGTTTCCAACATGCCTTTATTTTAACACGAATAATTTTAAACCTCTTTTAAAGGTAGAGTCCATCATTTGCAGCCATCCGAAAAGTAACTGGCGTAATCATTGTTGAAAAACATACTTGGTTGAAAGATAGTAAGGGAACTAAACTCCCTGTGAAATTATTCTTTCTGGGAAGCTGTCATTTTGAAGTAATCAACGAAAGAAGGCATTTCCAACGGTGATTCTTAAGAAGCACCGTAGGAAAATTTAAATTAGTAGTTCGTTTTGTTATTCAGCGCAGCGCGCACAAGTATTGGAACGACGCACATGCGCGCGCGGTTGTTATAATTCGTCGGATCAGTGCGCGACGTCGCGTATAGCTGCAATTCAAAACATGATTCAGTAACTTTTGATTTGAAATTGAGATCTTAGAATGCTGTTTTTCTCGGAATGTACAGCTGAAGCTTAGCTGAAACTTTATCAGGTTAGTTGCTTAGTATCCTTCATTGGATTTTGAACTCTTTTGTTGCTTCAAACGAACAAAATGCACAAATTACAAATGATGGACTATAGCTTTAAATATCAAACCAATACTCGCCGGGGATAAAGTTAAGATTCCAAGCTTTAAAATGGGATAAAAAAATAATGGCAGTACGTGTTTTCGCGCTGATGCTAGAGCCTCGCCCAAAAAAGTTGCTTTTCTTTTGGGACATGCTGTATATTAGCTGGAATCAGTAGGCTATTTTCCTCGTGAAATTTTCTCTGTGTTAAATGTGCATCCAGTATTCTTTTATGGAAAAAAAAATAATTTTTACCCACGATATGACCGGCCTGTTTCCATTGGGGCCCTGCATACATTACATATTACGTAGTAAGCACACTAAAAATGCATGAAAATAGGAGAATTCATGCAGGATAAAATAGTTTTATTCACCATCACAAAAAAAACCTGAATCACTTTTGGATAAGTAGTAGTAGTACATTTATTTCAATGCTGTCCTTGGATGTACAGTGTTTACAATAAGTTAATACAATATTATTACACAAAGAACAACATTTAGATTTGGTGAAGCAACAATGCTTTTGTACCCTAACCTAGGGACAGACAATGGGACAGACAGGACAAAGGACTACAACAGCAAATGAGTGTGCATGCAGGTACTAAGACATAACAATATGAGATAATTTACACATTACATTTAGAAATATGCATCAAGAAGTTGTTTTCTTAGTTTTTTGACAAATGCAGCCTGTGATGGTGATTTTTTCATAGATTGACTAAGACTGTTCCAGTAATTTGCACCACGTTGAATAAGACTGTTTTTAAACAAGGACGTTCGACTGTAGCAAACATGGATATTTTTTCTAGAAGCACTTCGAGTATTGTGTGAATGTATGTTTGATGACAACGAATAATATGAGCTAAAACAACCAGGTAATGCATTATTCATGTACTTATACATAAATTTACCTAAATTTAAGTAGTAGATGTCTTTAATTTGTAACAGATTTAGGCTTGCAAATAAGTGAACACAAATACATTTACACATTTTGTAAGTAAAATTACAAAAGCGTAATAGTATGTTTTCATTTTTTGTTTATTTGTGACATTTCTTTTTCTACATTTTTCAGTAATGCAACGTTTCCTTTAATCAGTTGATTGATTGCCATGTTTTGGAACTTTCAAAGTGTTCCATTAAAAATAAATAAATAATGAAAGGTTTGCGGAAACACCATGTGCGAATAATTTCTCAACTAAGAGAATGGTTCTGAAAAGAACCAGAGGTATAAACTCAAGTTTATTTAGTATCTCCACCATGCAAAGCCTCAAATCTTACTTAAAAATAAATAAAAATTAAAAAACGTGCAAAAAAGTTTCAAGCAGCGTAGAATTTTTCGTAATTTTGGTGGCTTCTCATCAGTTGCTTGTCTGATTCATTCACATCACAAATCGGCGGAAATCATCAACAAGTTCGTCTCTGACGTCTTTAAATCTGTTGATATACTCGCACTGCACTCAGCCTGTCCTCTCCCGTCGAAGGTTACCGACGGATTAGACCAAATCTTTTAGCCCAGGGGCGGGACTGTGGTTGTTGACAATTTAATCAGCCGACCCGGGCTCCGGACGTTGCAAATACGCTTTTCTTTCAATCTTTAGCTTGGAGAAATCTTGTTACAAGGAGACGGTTGAGCCATTCAATCCTGCCCATAGCATTTCAAAAAATAACTGCAAAAACAAGTTTGGAACAAAATTCTGAAATAATACTCAGACAAAGACTTATAAACATCAATATTCTAACTGGATAACCAAAGTCTGGGTTATTTTTTTTATAACAAAGCTTGAAATACTAAAGGTTAACTAGGAACAGTGTTTTTGTTAAGTGGAAAACATCCTTCAATATTATTTACAATTTTCAAAAGCAGCTTAAAAATTGCTTTAAACTCCTGTGTTCCCAATCTTTTTATAACGCCTTGATTTTCCTGTTCTTCCAATATTACACTCAGTAATTCCAAGCCGGTTCCTGTGGATTCCCAGATTTCCTCACCATGAGTGCCTTTTTTTCCCCCTGTCCTTCCCATGTTGCTTACAGTGGAAGTGAAGTTGGAGATCACTGAGCGATTTCCAGTTTCCTTGATTTTCCTTGAATTCCTATACTGCATGTAGTCAAACACTATCTGTTTCCCAGTTTTCCCACATTTCCCGAACAAGAGAATATCTTCTTGCACTGCTCACAGATGAAGATGCGAATAGATCAAAGTCCATTGTATTCCTTAATTGTCTGAGATTTCCCATATTACATGTGATAATCACAGTCTTTTTCCTATTTTTCCCATTTTTTCCCCTCAAACCAGGAGAGGCTACTCCTGTCAGTGCTTCCTGCACATCTCGCCGCAGAGATGAAAACGGAAATGATGGAGCGAGTCCGGGACCCCACCCAGACACGAACACAAGGAGCAGGCATGCAGAAAAACAGCACCACGCACTTCCACAATCTCTACGTCAAACGTCATAAAAACGTCAGGTCTGTATACAGATAGGGGAAAAAAATGTCTTCAAACAAAGATTTCCTTTGTGGAATTTTTGGGATGCTAACAGATGTTGATTTTGACATACGGTAGGCTTATAGAAACAGTTCTGTTGGAAATCTTCAAAGGAATGCAGGTTGTCTCACAAAAAAATCTAGCAGTCGAATCGGGCATGTTTTCAGAAAAGTTTCAGTAGTATTCAAAATCGTGTCTAATGAATTGCTGAGTAGAATAATGGGTCTTCCAAATGCTTTTTAGTTGGTTTCATTAGGATTTTTTTGTTCAAAAGATACAGCACTCAAAAAACGGGACTTGAGAAACCACTTTAGCCACTTTAGTCACACATTACACTTGAGCAAAGGAAATAAATCCTTTGTGTGTTTCTCTAACTGCACTTTCCCACTTTCAACGAAAAGTTGCCCAAGACGATTTTCCACTCTTGAGTTCGATGATGCGTAGCATTAATTTTGTTCCAATGCATTAATTTGAATGAAATAAAATTTATTATGGTAGATTGGTTATCTGACCTTAAGAGATTATTTGAAAATATTCGAAAATCCACATGCAATATACCTTTATTAATTGGTTTTCGACTGTTAGGTTTTTTGTGGGACAACCTGAAGTCCATTCAGACAAAACACTTTTGAATATCAATGTACGAGGCTGCTTCTCTACCTCGCCCACCTCAGGTTAAAATTTCAACATTTCTTTAGAATGGTAGGCCAAAATTTTCCAAATTCAGTGTCATAAATTGTAATGTAGATACCCCTCAGTGCCTTTAGGCTTAAGGAGATGTTTAAATATTTGGAATTTTTCCAGTTGCATGCCTGTTAGTGGAGTAATCCTATCTGAGAATGCAGTACTACTATTGTCTATTTTCTAGAATATATTTTGGTCTAATGGTTAATTTAAGAGCTCCCTTGGAAAGCAGTGAACTACCCTCATAAAATATGACATTAAATTAAATACATATGCTTGACAGATGTTTCCATATGGGAACGCCCGCCGTGCCCAGCCTGCTCTTAATAAAGAAACCATGAATTCAAAGCAGGTGTTCATACAGCTGGCATGTTCTGAAGCATTTTTCAAAATGTTGAAGCGCTCCCTGATCATTCATGTATTATGTAAGAATGGCCCCGGTCACTGCACTTTTTCCCTGATGGTTGGTAATGCTTCAAGGATGTTCACTGTTGCTGGGTGTATTTGTATCTATTGCTGCTCAACCGTATGGCCAGGTCCAAAGGGCTATGGCTATAATGGCTAACAGTTACACACATGTCTATGGGAAGTGACTTCAGCCGCTTCCATATTTATTGCAAGCCGCGGCTAAGTAATTTTGACGTGGCCTAAATGTACCAAAGAAAATCATAGTTAGTCGTGTGTCAGGCAGAAGGGCGTATGCGCGTACGCCCTTATGCTTGAATGCGTAATCACCAAAATGTTCCCAAAAAAAGGGCATATGCAGAAAACTGCCTCTATTTTAATGAAATGTAAACATTTTCATCGGAAATTAACTCAAGTTGTTCCAAAAATTATGATTCATGCGTGTGACAACTTGCAATTTGTACGGTAAACACGTGTGGAAAATTTGGATTCCTAATATGCGCACATCGGGGAAACATGGGAGCCTTTGAATGCAATTTTCTTAAAAAGTGATTTTTCACATCAGAACGCTCGTATGTCTGCCGGGCACCGGACTATTTGTAGTTTTTACAGGTTTTGAATTTAAAAAAAAAAACCCACAAAATTGAAAAGAAATACCCAAATTTCACTCCGATTGGCAGCCATCTCTGCTGGTGCACGATCCTTGTTCCTTAAAAAAAAGTCAGAAACATTTTGGAAAAGGAAAACCAAAATTCCATACTGATGGACATCCATGTTTGCTGGTGCATTATCCCGATGCTGTGCCATTATCTAGCCTTAAACTCAAAGCAACGTAATTAATTTTGACGCGGTTGCTTGATTACGACTTCGCTCTTTGACATTTGTCTTTATTGGTGTGTGTGTCTCTTTCCCTATGTCCGCTCAGCATTCTGTACGCAGACATTGTTGGCTTCACCGCGCTGGCCAGTGAATGCTCGCCAGCCGAGCTAGTCAAGACGCTGAACGAACTCTTCGGCAGATTTGACAGTTTAGCTGAGGTAAGTGGTAACCATGGCAACCGGGATCAGACGGTTTTCCTGAAAACGCTCTTAATTTTCTTACCTTAGTGACCCAGTGGGATTATTTTTTAAAGTCCCACGATGGCCTTTTGTATTCTTCGAGTTTGACTAACAGGCTTTTTTTCTAATATTTTGATAAATGCTAAGTGCGGGTAGAGTCTGGCGGTTTTATTGCGCAATAATAATGGGACAGCTCATGGATAGTGACAATAACACCCGGCACTGTATAACTTGGCCAAATGTTATAAATGGCCGACTATATAAGTTTTGATTACAGGTAACGGACATCCTTTCACAAAAGTCTCAGAAAGAAACTGCCAACGTGAAATATTCTACTTGATTGTAAGCAAATGAGCTCGATCGGAAATATCTCGGAAGCTGCGGGCCAACGAATTCATGTTCATGCATGAGTCATGTGATTGTGCCATGTAATTTCTCCAGGAGTAGTGTTTTGAGTGGTAAAAATGAGCTTTTAGACCCTAGTAACCCCATGACGACCATTAACCGCAGTTTGGTCATGTGACATGTTGGGGCTGGGCAGCTGATACTTTTGACAAAGTTTTGCTGACATCGGTCAAATATGTAGGAGCAATGTCAACGTTTGTTACTCACTAACTAAGTAACGGACTTACGGAGAGACATGGTGATTTGGTTAGCTGCTATCCCGCAGCTAATAATAGGATCAGCATTTTGTGAAATCGTTGTGCCTATAGTATGCATCATTTCCTCATGATGGTTAGGACTAAACCATCGCGAGAAAAAAAATGATTTTTTTTTCAAATACTACCCCTGAGAAACTGACTTCAATTTTACTTTGCAATTGCTACATATATCCTCAAATTTTGGAAGGGAGGGCTTTCAACAGATATCTTGGTTTGCGTCCAGAAATCACAGCATTCTCATAATGTCTGGTATCTACTGAGTTTAAATGTATTATAAAACATTAAAAAACATTTAAAAAAAACACAACTACCCTATTATTATGAAATACCTTACTTGACTGTAAGTGAATGTTAGTCTTAAGCATCCTGTGAAATCATGGTGTGTCATTTCAAGGAAAGCGGAACCTTTGTATCAAACTTTTAGTTGGTAAACATCCGTGAATGGGTGAAGGAATGTCAGGGAACCAGACTACAAGAACAGCAGTTTTTCCTTTGTTTGTCCAGCATCTATGAACCCAAAATTGTTAAAGGTCTTTTTTTATAACCTGCTTCAGATTTATTGTAATTTTCCTTGAATCGGTAAAAGTACATTATATTTGAAACATTGCTTCCATTACCTTTAAGTAGCATATTAAGGCCTCTTTAGTCCATCATCAATTACTCACTTGTCCTCGATCTGTCCGAGAAGTGAGTTATTTTAGGGGCAATCTGCAACGGAACTTGCTTCATCTGTGCTTTTTCCTTCTGTATGTTACTGAATGACTGTAGCAGCTGGTGTACCGGTAACTGCATCAATCAGTTTACAGAAATTGTCATTACTTGTCAAGCGGAGATAAAAAATGACAAGAAATGCACTCAATTTTTAAGACTTAATATCACGCCGCACTAATGACATCAATTTTGTTCCGCGCCATACGCGCGCATACCCAGCATGTCGTACAAGCTTTCGAACAATCACGCGCGCACATGCATGCACACTTGGCTGCATAGAAACGGTGCTGCAGGCGTGCGCGTAAACTTCACACAAGAAGTTCGTACAGCATGATTTTCCGAGATCCGGGTACTTGCTTCTATTTTTAACATTAGTGCAGAGTGCTATTCTCCAAACTCATTCATGTAAGTCAGCACAAAAAAAACAAAGCAAAAAAATAAATGTTCAAATGATAAAGGACATTCAAACATTATGTAAATGAAAAGAAAATTGTGTATGGAATAGTCTCCTCATGACAGGCAGAACAGATGCTTTGAAACATTGAGTTTCCCCTGGTTCTTTTCAGAACCACACAAACTCACAAAAGCGATCCGTTACATGGTGCAAGCAAACATCCTCTTATTGCTCTCTTCATCATGAAAACCTACAAATCACATACAAATCAATAAATATTATTTAAAAAAAAATACAATTAAACACAGTAATTTGTGAAAATTTGAGATTCTTCCCATTTTTACCCTAAATTGGATCAAATAAAGTTTCAAAAATGAACGACAAACCAAAAAGTTTGAAAAAAAAATGTCTGGAAAATCAAAATAGCAAAAAAAGTTAGTTCCCTTCTTAAAATATAATTAAATCCACCACTCACAAGTGTGCCTTTTTTGGGTGTAGTAAGGCACAAGCAAAGTCCACATGAACCCGAAGGTTGTTACATTACACCTCAGCATGCACCGGAGCAGGTGATACATTAAGGGCAGTGTGAGATCAGTGGCATTTAAGCCGCTACAAGAGCTGGCGGCGCGTAAATGGTCTGATTAACGTCATTAATGTGGGGAGCGGGCGCAGGCCGTGAGCAAAGCGAAGGACAGGAAGAAGCAAATAAACAATTGGGCCATTAAGTATCTACTGATAGATAGAGGATGACAGAATGCGAAGAAGAAAAAAAAAGAAGAAGACAAAACTAGAGGTTGGTTCGCCCGAGGTGACATCGCATGGTATAAGGACAGAAAAGTGGTGTAGAGCGTGTAACATGAAACCTCGGCAGGCGGAAGCCATTTGCGAGGCGGCGGTGACATCTGGAATGAAAGAATGCTGCTCAGCGTGAGAAAATCGGGGTAACATAACGAGGCACTGATTAACCTTAACATTATCCCGGATCAGATCTTAATGGACTCTGTTCGTGAACGCAAGAGGGCGCTATGTACTATTGAGGTCATTTACAATTTACTGGTTCGCGAGTGCTGTTCATTTGTTCAGATTGGAGAATAATCACTATAGAGACGGGACTCAATCGCCGTGAAACCAGGGCCCAATTTCACGGCACTGCTAAGCACACGATTTTCTGCTAACAGAGCCTTCGTCTATTTCATGGAGACCGTAAGCATAAGCATAGCAAAAGGCACGCTTACTTCAGAGGAAAAATTTGCTTAACTTAGTGATGTAACAATAGAAATCTCCATGCCAGCACAACCGTTAGCACATCCACGCCATAAAATAGTGCTTAAGGTTAGCCAATTTTTCTGCTATGCTAAACACACCTTTTCTGCTAACTGTTAAGCAGCGCCATGAAATTGGGCCCAGGGCAAAGAAGGCATACATGTAGTGGCTGGTTTGCATACTTGCTGCAAAGGGATGAAGAACAATGCCAAATGGAATGATGTCTTGTCAATGTCTTACAATGGTTCTTTTGGTACATTCCTATTATAAATTCGCCTTTTGCAGGGGTAACATTCTGGAGCAGTTTGGGCGAGAACCATTTAGTTGACTAGTGGTTGATTCGTGGCGTAACTTATGTCCAGTCAAACGCTGGTCAAACCGTAATCGCAAAACTTCTGGCTCCTGGCTCCCTGCTGCACATTTAGATGCGCGCAGCAATTAGTCACCAGTGTTGCAACCGTGCCCTGGCACTCCGGTTCCAAATAGTGGACTAGAGTAGTCCGACCATCCTGAGTTTGAGTGAAGTTATTCAAAACATGGTGAGCCATAGTCCTCACCAGAAGCTGTTCCTGTATTGTCATGATGTTGGACCTTCTGCTAACCAATGTGATTTAGTCTCTTGTGGCAATTAATTAGGCCTACAAGCCGGGATTGCTGGGGAAAAGAAAACCCTGGAGATTAGGAAGACGGGCAAGGACAGACATCTGAACATTGTTTGTGGATTTTTTTGGGGGAAAAAAACCTTTGCGTACACCTTCAAGCGCCAGCAAAATTAATTTTGGAAATTTTTGTATTCCTCTACAGTTGCAAAAAAGTCGGGCATAAACTGTGATTAGTCACAGGTGTCTTCCTGTCAATTTCAGACGGCGGAGTTTTTAATTATTTTTTTTTGGGGGGGGGGGATTCATTGAGAGAAACTAATTTCATAGGGGTTTTTTTCCTGGTTGATGTTTGCGAACACTCAAAATCTGTTGGGTTGCTTTTGCTAGAGGCATGACGTCTGATGAATTCAGAAATTAGATTTTCACTTTTTGTGTGTGTTCTTTCTTTGAAAATCTTGCCAAAGATAAAGGCTGGGAAAAAGAACGCAGTATCCCAAGGGTAAATTGAAACAATTTCAATCAGCCGAACTTACTGTCACTGATTATATTCCAGGATTTACGACCGGTTGCTCATACTTATCTGCGGGTTCACTTATCTGCAGTTCACTTATCTGCTGTTCACAGTAGATCCTGTATGGAATAATTCAAATGATTTCCGAAATGGCACATCAGGTTTACGACATGTGGAACACCGTAGGGACGAAGTGTTCTAGGCATTATCTTTGGCAATTTAAAGATATAGTCCATCATTTGTAATTTGTGCATTTTGTTCGTTTGAAGCAACAAAAGTGCTCAAAATCTAAAGAAGGGTACTGAACAACTAATCTGATGAAGTTTCAGCTCAGCTTCAGCTGTAAATTCCGAGAAAAACAGCATTCTAGGATCTCAATTTTAAATCAAAAGTTGCTGAATCATGTTTTGAATTGGGCCTGAATTCAGCGTCCGAGACACGTTCTCACTGAGCCGATTGCAGCTACGCGATGTCGCGCACTGATCCGACGAATTATAGCAACTTCGCGTGCGTGTGCGTCGTGCCAATGCTTGCGCGCGCTTCGCCGAATAACAAAACGAACTGCTAATTTAAATTTCCTACGATGCATCTTAAGAAGCACCGTTGGAAAGGCCTTCTTTCGTTGATTACTTCAAAATGGCAGCTTGCCAGAAAGAATAATTTCACAGGGAGTTTAGTCCCCTTACTATCTTTCAACCAAGTATGTTTTTCAACAATAATTACGCCAGTTACTTTTTAGATAGCTGCAAATGATGGACTATAGCTTTAATACTTGCTTTAATTTCTGACTTGTGTTAATACTTGCTCCAGTACATAAAACAGAAAAGAGTGCTGTG